GTCTGGAAAATTAGGATTTAACTTTCCCATCTCTGTAGTATAAGAAAGCTCATGAGAAGCAAAGAGGAAGGAAGGTTGAGTGGACGATCCAAAGCACCTACCACAACTGGAGTCTCCCAGATTAAATGCCAGATGCCCAGTGAAGTTTGAATTTCAGACAAACCGATAGGTTTCTAGTGTAAGTATGCCCCAACTACTCATGGGACATACTTATACTAAAAAATTATTCATCATTTATATGAAATTCAAATTTAATTGGGGGTCCTGTATTTTAAATTGCTAAATGGGGCACCCTACCCACAACACCGTTCATGGCTGGTTTCCAGCGTCTTCTTGTTGAGATCACTGGGAGATGGTGGGAGAGAAAGCCAACCTCAAAGCCTGTGATCCTCCCCTGATCCCCTCCATGTACCATGTCTGATACAAAGAGCGTGAAAGGCTCAGGGGCTCCCAACAACATAGTTTGGTCCAAAGTTGAGTTTGGGGAAAATGCAGCAAAGTCAGACGGTGGGTCACGAAGGGTCATGTGTGGTCACAGGATATCTGGAGGAGTCTTACCCGGCACTCTCTGTATCACCCAGGGTGACTTTTTATCTGTAAAGCTCTTCTTTTTTTTCTTTTAAAGATGTTATTTTTAAGTCATCTCTACATCCAATGTGGGGCTTGAACTCACAACCCCAAGAGTCACATGCTCCACCAGCTGAGCCAGACAGGTGCCCCTATCCGTAAAGCTCTTGTACATCAAAGTCTGAGACACAGACACAGACCCTGGCCTCAAAGTGGCTTACAACTCAGGGGAGGAGGAAGGGAAAAATAGAAGTGAGCACAGGCTGAGCACCAGAGAAAGTCAGGGCCCCCCTGGATTCTGGAGGGGAGGCTGGGGCGGGGGCAGGGAGGAGCGTGGGGGGGCACACCAGGGCTTGCGTTTCACAGGTGAGAGAAAGGAGGGAAAGGGCTGAGCAGAGTCAGTTATAAAGACTGGACGGTGGGGATCAGCGGGTGATCGTAGCAGCTGACGTGTAGGAGGCTAGACTCACTCCCAAGAACTATGTGCGCCTTAGCGACTTTCATCAGCCCTGTGAAGGATGCTCGTGACTCTCCTCCGTTTACAAAGCGGCAGACCCAGGTGGAGGGACGTTCATTGCTCAAGGCGACCCAGCTTGAAAACGGAGATCATCCCAGAAAGGCAGGCTCGGCTCAGACTGGGGGGAGCCTTGACTGTGCAGGCTTGAGATTTAAGGGGCTGGTATAACCGTGGCTCGAGGGCCAACTGTGAGGGAGGCACCGGAGAGGCAGAGACAAGCCAGCGTCTCAGACAGGCCAGCAGGAAGCAGCCAAAGCCCTAAAAAGGACCTTTGATCCAGAAATTCTACATGGAAAACCTTCATCCTAATAACTGAAGACGATTTAGCTATGAATACTGAGTGAGTGGTTAGCTAGAAAGATTTCATTACAATGTGACCTATAATTGCAGAATTTGTAAACTATATAAATGTCCAACCATACGTCATTAGTTAAACAAATGCAGCCACACATTTAAGTTATGTTGTAGAGCAATGCAGAAGAATATTATTGATACGGAAATACGCCAATGACATGTTACTGAGTGAAAAATACAGATTACAAAATAATGTGCACCATGTGGTCCAATGCGTGTGTGTGTGTGTTTTAACCTGGAAGGATGCCGTAAAGTGTTAATAGTGATTATTTTCATTATAGGTGATACTAAAATTGCTATTGGCAATTTCTATTTTCTTTTTTTGCACCAATTCTATAAATATTGAGTGCCTACTAGGCGCCAAGCACCGTGTTGGCTGTTATATACATCGTGGTAAATAGAAGCATGTCTACTCCCTGCCTCATGGGTGAATAAGTGGGCAACGAAATCCTTATTGTCTAGTGACAAAGGAGAATGTGCTGTGAACAGGCAAAGGAACTTCTGTATAGGGAGGACCAGGTGAGGACATACGTGGACCCGATGGTCAGGGAGGACCTCTGACATTTAGGTCAAGACCTGAAGGCTGAAAGGCAGACAACCTCAAGAAGGGCTGAGGGAGGGGGTGTGTTCCCAGCAGAGGGAACAGCATATGCAAAGGCTCTGAGCAGCAGAGCAACGTTAGGGGAACTTAAAGGTTGGTGTGGATGAAGCACAGGGAATTTATGTTTTCAGAACTGGGCGTTATCTAGCGGGAGGACCCCCTTCCTGGGACAAGCCATAGAATACAGTAGAGGCTCACTCTCATTATGAGATTTTTAGAAAATCGGGTTGATGACGTGGAATAAGGATGCTAAGGAAGGTGTGGATCCCTCTTTGGAATCATCTACGTTATTTGGGGAGTTCCTGTACAACCAAATGATTTATTAAAGGTTAAAAAAAAAAAAAAAGACTACTATTTTTTACCAAAAAGAACAACAAGGAAAACCAACAACAAAAATCTAACCTAATTATTCTAATAGACTGGAGTATTTTCTTTGGGGTAATTGCCAATTTCCTTCTTTGACAGCACAATTTTGATCCCAACATATTTGGGGGCAGGGGGAGAGTAGAACAGGATCCTTTTCCCCCACATTTCAAGCCTCCCTACATGAACTGTCTGTCACCCTAGGTGAGAGTCCACACAGAATTCCCAAGTACTGTATAAAGTAATAGCTTTAATGAAAACTTAAAGATGCTCTGGGGCCAAGGCTCTGCTCTAGCTGAAAGCCCCCCATCAGGCAGCCTACCGGCCCATTTGCCCACCACCCTCTTGGTTTTGTACCAGGGGCAAGAGAAGTGGGATGCCAGAGCCCAGATGTTGCAGCAGGAATGGGGAGGGATGGAATTTCCAAATGAGGAGCTAATAATAACATAGGCGGTAAGGATGGAGCCGAAGTACCCGGAGACCCAGAGAGAGATCCTGAGCCTCCGCACCTCACTCGGCCGTCACAGCAGCGCTGGAAGTGAGCACATTTATTATCCCCACTATTAGTAGAGGCAGAAACCGTGCCCCGCCCCTCCGGTCTGCGCCCCACCTCTCTGATTAGCTGGTTAACAATTAATCTGAGAAATAAGGCCAGAGCACAAGGAAGCACCAGGGAATGAGCACTAAGTGGGTGATTCAGACTGGAAGCTGGAGTTCAGGAAGGGGAGGATCCAGGAGCACCTGAGCAAGTGCAACTCCTTTGGGAGAGGTGGGATTGATGCAGGTCCTGTCCGGTAGGTGGGGCTGGGGTGTGTGGCTGCTGGAGCTGGGGTGGGGGGGAGGGGGGGGCTGTCGGGGAAGGAGTGGGCAGAGGTTTCCTGAAGGGCTGCGTTGGGTAGTAAATGATTGGGGGGCAGGGAAGAAAGAGCAGACGGCCCAAACCACGTCTTAGCTTTTTCTTTTGAGTCACAGACCCCTTTAAGAATCTAATAAAACGGGGCGCCTGGGTGGCTCAGTCGTTAAGCGTCTGCCTTCGGCTCGGGTCATGGTCCTGGGGTCCTGGGGTCCTGGGATCGAGCCCCGCATCGGGCTCCCTGCTCAGCGGGAAGCCTGCTTCTCCCTCTCCCACTCCCCCTCCTTGTGTTCCCTCTCTCGCTGTGTCTCTCTCTGTCAAATAAATAAAAATCTTAAAAAAAAAAAAAAAGAATCTAATAAAACTAGCAACGCTTTCCTCAGAGAAAAGCACAGGTGATTCCACAAGGAGCCCATCTGGGGCCAGGTGAAGCGCGCCTGATTGTTAAAATGCGAGAGGCAGAGAAATGCGCCCTCTCAGAAGAGCTGCAAACGTGAGTGGTCCATCGCCGGCTGGCTCGCTTTCTCACAGATGCGCACGGTCCGCTAGACTTTGTCTGAGCCCCAGGCCTGTGTTTTATCCCATTATTTTCATGGGATGACTCAAAAGGCCTGAAGATTAAAAGCCCTAACGCCCCACCCACACCGCCCACACCAGGTTCAATCTCTTGGTCCTTTCGGGTTGGAAAGAACCTTACAATTCGGAAGTGGGTTCAGGATACCTCTGCTGTGAGCCCCCATTCCACCCGGGAGGGGCGGGTGCGGCAAGCTGCATCATTAGGACCAAGATCAAGGACTCTTGCAGCCCGGTGTCCCATTCCCTCGCGCCCTGGCCTGCCCCGCCAGCGGCCACCCCATGCCTCCTAACCCTGCCGCCCTGAGACTGGCCCCGTTCCCCCCGGCCCCTCACCCCACGCGGCCAGAGCCCGGGCCTTACTGTCCAACGGGGACAGAAAGCCAGCCAGATTTGCTGCAGACCCCACCGCAGAAAAACTCCGTACTTGAGAAGCCAAGTCCAACGGACCCCTTCTTTCTTAAAATGCGTTCCTTATAGGACTCGTTTAGGAAGCTAGGCCTGCTCTCCCAGATCGGAAACACAGCCCGACCTCTGAGCGCTCCGTGCACTGCGAGGTAACCCGAATTTGAGTGAACAACGGTCAGCCGACTTCCGTGGGCACACGAAGTAAAGTCCAGTGAACCATGCGGTTTTCTTGCTGAACCACCTTTTTTTTCCCCACCCCCTTTCCAGCCTGGACCCTCAATAATGCCAGCCCCTTGCTGAAAGCATCGGCTGAGGTCACTCACACAGCTACGGAGAGGCTGGCTGGTTAGCAGAGCTCAGGGTTCATCAGCTCCACTGGACATCCAAGACCCGCACGCCATTTTTCTGGACATTTCCTGGGACTAACCCACCTCTGCTCCTTATCTCCAGGACCTACCTGGCCAGATGAGACCTGCCTTCGAGGAAGAGGCTGCACTCAGGAGGCAGAGGAAAGGGGAAGGGCAGAGGAAGTTGTCTACAGCCCGCCCTTCTTGAGGACAAGAAGATCCTCAAGCCAGTCAGCCAGGTGACTTTGAAGAGAGTTTTTCAAAACCCCAGGGCAGGGCCTGGCTGGGCGAGAAGAGGTCAAGGTCAGCCAGAGATGGGCTCAGGCAAGGTGGGAAAGCGCAGGTGTTCACACACAAAAGGCCACCTCTGCCCTGCTCCCACCCCGGGGGGACCCAAAGACGAGGCGGACGTTTTGAAAAATATAAAATTTTAATAAAGGCTACATCTCTTAATTACAATAATTATTGTACCAAGTAATTTTCCTTAAATGAACTCTTTATAATGCACAATTTACAGTATAAGTAGAACAAAATGCCATGGCAAAAGTCATTGAGTACAAGACTTGTAGTAAAAAGGCATAAAATATATTTATACATAAACCCCTTTCAAAAAACAAGGGAAAGTTGGAGCCCTCAATATAGGGCGACACACGGAGCAGGACACCGTGCAGGTACAGGTACTGTACTGATTTCAAGTCAAGCACTAGAGATAGTGGATTAATACTCTTCTGTTGTACAATATATACAGACGTATAGTACAAGTAACAATGGCAAAAATAGAATGTACAGATTAACTTAACACGAAAACCCGAACGTCAAAACGGAGGTGTCTGGAGGAAAGGGTGCTGCTAGGTCTTCCCGCAACTGTCCGCTTCTTTGCAGGGCAAGGGGGGAGGGGTGGTGGCTTCCAGAATGGTGGTGGTCCAACGACTAATTAAAAAAAACCAACCAACCAACCAACCAACCGACCGACACTCCAAGGAACGGTTTCAATGCAAGCACGAGTTGAACTCCAAGGTTCTAGCGGGCCTCAGCCACTGGGCGCTGGGCCTTGGCGGGGAGTTAGGAGGAGTTACTGAGGAAATCTGGGGTCCCCCAAATGAGGCCCCCCCCTGCCCCACGATGGATCCCATCCCACATGATGACCCCAGATGGCAGTGATGTTGCAACATAAATTGCTCCTCAAGACCTTTATGACAAAATAGAGCAGCGTAGGAAAAAAAAATGCACCAATTTTCTGCGTGTGTCAATGGTAGGGCAGCATTTTTAAAAAGTCTGTCTTCACTTGGAGAAATGCAGGGCAAAGCGTAATAATTCCCCTTAAAGAAATCATTAATGCGCCCCTAGCTCAACTCCCAAGTTTGGACAGGACAATTAAAACTTCCCCTCTCCCCCTACCGTGTTTAAAGCAGCATATCCATAAACTGGGGCCGGGGGTGGGGAATCAGTTGTTCAATAAATAGCAGTAAGGATTCCTGTTCAGGTAAGCTATACACAGTTTCTCTTAGTTTATGGATTTCAGATCCCTAGGCGGTCATATATTATGTATGGCAGTCTCTCAAATACAGTCAGCATCTTCAATAGCCAAGAGTGGTCATGTTTTTAATAAATAGTTCAGGCTTTTCTTATCTCAGTACCCAGCTGGTGAATAGTGAAAACCAACCTCCCTGCCCTCCCCACCCTCCCCAAGTGGCCAGTGGCCAATTCTTCCCGAGATTTTTGTCTTCTTCATTGGTTTAGTTTTCCTTCAAAATGTCTCGTCGCGGTCCGTCACGGCCAAGGCCGGTGGCGCGGGCGGCGGCCCCGCACTTGCGCTGGGGGCCCGACCCCCAAGGCTCAGTCGATCCTCTCCACCTTCCCCAGAATCCTGCCTTCGTACATGGGGAGCACCGCCTCATCATCCCAGATCTCCTCAAACACGGCTCCACAGGCAAACTCGTCGCTTGCTTTTTTGAAGTAATACCTTAAAAGGAAAACCCAAAGAGCGTCTTGGTGAAAAGTGCGCTTTCTACTTTGCTAAGGAGAAAGGTGATGTCAGCACGGAGGATGGAGGGGTCCTGAAGGTTCCGCCGCACACATGTGCATGTGAACCTCTGGCCGCCTCTGATCTGCGCCGGCCGCCGGGGCGCGACGGGACGCCCTCCCACCTGCGGCCTTGGGCCCAGAATGCTGGGGCCCCCCCCAAACACACTCTGCGGAGGACAGCTGCCTGCTTCTTTCTCCCCTTATCGGGAGGGTGTGGGGGTTGGGAAGGGCAAGACACGCCTGGTCCATTTGCAGTAACAGTGGGGCGGTGGGGGGGCTCCTCCAAGAGGCCCAGCCACCCTGAACCTGTAGAAGTCTGTGGAAGGCTGACACCTCTCCTGTCCCTCCCACCCTGCAGCACCCACAGGCCCGCTCCTCCGGCCTCTCCCTGCCACAGCCATGGGACAGGCTGCTTTCCTCGGTGGCCCCGGCAGGAGGCTGGCCAGAGCCATCTTGCTTCCCAGGGTTGCAGACAGCCCTGGCCCCGGCTACTCTCCTCCCTCTTCTCCCCGTCCCCCCACCCCACTCCACTCCACCCCACCCCTCCAGGGTCAAACACTAAAGACCCTTCTATTATGCCCCTTGATTAAAGGTTCCTTTTATCCCACCCCAGACTTCTTTCTTCTAAGGCTGTTTAATTGTGTGGACGCAAATGACCGGCCTCTCTCAGGAGGGCCACATTCAGAAACAACTGCTGTCCTCCAGGCGGGCCCACTCCCTGGCCCCTTCCTTCGCCAGCCCCTTCCAGGGAGACCCCTCAGACGGATTAAACTCGCCCCTGCAAGCTGTCACCTTCAGCCAATAAAGGCCACTCATGGAGGGAGGGTCCTGGTCCTCTGGGGGGAGGGGGACAGCTCTCTAAAAAAATTTGTGTCTCAGGGTTACAGTTTTTTTTCTCTTTTCATTTAAAAGGAAAAAAAAAAAAAGAATTCCCCTCGGTTAGAGCTCAACTTCTTTCCTCTTTAATGAAAGCAAGCCAAATACTTTCATAGGAGATAAGGCTAAATAAAGTGAACCAGCTGGGTTTAGTCAAGGTTCCTTGTTGTTAGTGTTCCCAGCTGGGCCACAGCACCAGGGTGAACGGCACGGCCCGGACGGGGCAGCGGGGAGAACGCTTCCTATCCAGCGGGTCGGGGTACTTGGGGAGCCCGAGTGGGGGTGGGGAGGCGCATGGCACACAGGGGCCCCCGGACAGTGGCGGGGGAAGGCCCTCCTCCTGATACGAGGCTCCAGTTCTGACACCACCCTCGGTCGTGCCCCTCAGCCCCCCAGCTCCGACCCCTCGGCTCTACCAAGTCGGGCTTCCATGGCACCCCTGAGCAAACACGCAGAGACCTTCTTCAGGACCGTAACCTCTTCCAGAGAGGAGAGAGGCCACATCCCCTCGGCCCCGGCCCCCAGACTTCAAACGCACTGCGCTGCCCTCATCTTCTCCAAGAAACGGGCTTTTCCACTACAACATGCTTTATGTGGCAAACTGCGCTTTCTTCTGACATCTGGCACCAACAGCGTCTGGCACGTCTGGAGAGACTGTTCTCCTTTTGAACCCCTGCCATGTTGAGATTACTCAGTGCAGCCCAGGTCCCCCCCCACTCCGCGGCCCCATCCTCGCCGGGCTTTTTATTGGGGGGTGAGGGGGAGCGCGCGGGAGGACGGGGCACCACCCCCGCTGGGCGGGCCAGGCCTGGCACCCGGTGCCTCCCCGAGCCCGCTCCGGCCGGAGAGCAAGTACAGAGAGATAAGACGGCTGGGAAGGGTCTGGCCACAGCCTGATCCAATCAGTAAAGAATTTGAGAGTCAACCATTTGTGCAAGTCTTTGTGCATTAAAGGGGAGGCCGGGGCTTCAAAGCCAGGCTTATTAAGTGCGCCTTAGGACAAAAAATCAGAGCCAGATGTGGCCGGAGTGGCTGAGCGCGAAGCCCCCCCTGCAGCCTCCACTCGGCGCTCCAGAGCCCTTCTCCCTGAAGGTCACCTGCAGTTCCACTCAAAGTCCAGCCGAGTCAAAGCTGAGCTCAAAATGAATCCCTGGAGGGGCACACTTGTGTAATTAGTTTCACCTTGTGTCTGTTCAAGATAAAAAAAAGAAGAAGAAGAAGAAGAGGAAGAAGCAGTAGCATTAGGAGCCAGGCCTGCTCCCCAAACCCTTGGACACATTTTCAGAATCGTCTCTGCCCTGGTGTCAAATGGAAAGCTCTGAAGCCCAGCTCCACGCCCTGCTCCTCGGTCACTTACAGGTCCGAGCCCCCGAGCCCCAGCCTCTCCCTGCAGAGGGATCACTCTGGGCCCCCGGCCCAACCGGCTCCCAGGTGGAGTGGCTGGGAGAGCCGCAAGGGCCTGCTCCGGAAGGGACGGGGTCTCGGGGCCCCGGAGGCGGGCTCCAGGGGCCGGGGCCCACCTGGCTGGTCGCTCGTGCTATTAGGCTTCTCCCCTCCCATCTCGGGCTCGAGGTGGGGCGGGCTGGCACCTTCTGAGCACCGACTGCCGCTCCGTAAAGTGAGTGCGCCGCACCTCGCGTGCCCCTCCCTGGCCCTGCGCACCGCAACCCGAGATATGGCTGGAGCAGAGCCCACCTACTCCCTTGGGAGGAAGGCCATCGAGGAGGAGCAGCTAGGACTCTGGATAAACGCAGGTGGAGTCATCACCCTCCCACCCCACCCACGTTCAGGGGGAGGTGACCAAGGAACGGTCCCCGCTCTAGAATCCTCTCTGGGGCCCTAGAAGACCAGGCGGGTGTCTCCACCACGTAGAGAGGGAGGAGGGCTGGGGGCAGGGCGAGTGCCCGGCCCCGTCCACCCGGTGCCCACGCATGGGGCCGGCCCCCTCTCTGTTATGGACACAAGAGCATTTCTGCTTTACATGACCCATTCCACACCGCGAGGCAGCTCTTCAGGGAGAGAGGCTGAGGAAGGAGAATGCCGTCTCCATTTCCAGGCCATGGCCTCTGCCCTTCCCCAAGCCTTCAGTGTGGACAGTCTCTCCTAGGACCCAAGCCTCATCGGTCTGTCCGTCTGTCTCTCCCTGACACACACCGCTCTCTGCCTTTCAGGAAGGGCCTCAGTGAGATGGCCCAAGCCCAGCTGTCCTGGTCAAGCCCCCTTTCTCCTTCAGAGTCCCGTTCACCTGGGTAGAAAAAGCCCGTCCAGGTCCCCCCAGAGCCCTCCCAGCGGTCTCCCTGCTGCTGCTGTTATTTCTGTCAGTGGCGAGGGGAGAGAGGAAATGAGAAGGAACAGAAGCGCCAGGCAGCCCAATGGCCTCCCTGAGCGCCTCCTGAGCCCCCTCCCGACGGCCCCTCCGGGTCTGGCCAGGCCAGGGAAGCGACTCTGGCTCTCGGTTCTGAGCAAACAAAGTGCGGAGCAGCAAGAAGCCGCAGGGCTCTTACCTATAATTTCCCTTTTTGCTGAGCTGCTCTTTAAAGTGGCCCAGGGTCAAGCTCTGAGCCTTCAGCATCCTCCTGTATGGAATTTCTTCTCCACAGAAAAAGTACGTGACGACCAACTCGCTGGCCTGGAGTGCGTGGACCCCCGCCAGCTTCTTTGGCTCTTTGTGACTGAGAAGGAAGATGGAACGCAACAAGTTCAGCATTCGAAGGCAGCGAGCACACACCCCACACCCACACACACACCCCCCACCCCCCCCCACACACCCCACACCCCACCCACACACACAGGCTCTCCAACACGTCCTCCAGAGAGAAAGCGAGGCTGCAGCTATGAGCTCAAAGGGGGTCTGGGTGTGGGCCCCCCCCCCCCCCATGTCACAGAGGCAGCTACTCTGGAGGCCCACAGTCCAGGTCATCTGCATGGGGCACTGGGAAGGGATGATCTCCTTGGGGTTTACACACTGCTGTTGCTCCCCTCACTACCACCAAACGGGTCTCTTTCGGGATGGCACAAGTGGGGTGCTTGCCAAGGAAGAAGCGGGGAGAAGCTGCCAGAGAGCCGTGGGTTCACTCAGCCCCACGAGGGAATGCTGTAGAGACAAACCCAGAGCATCCCCTGGACGGCATGGATGCCAGAGCCCGCTGGGATGGTTAGCTCCGTCATTTCGACCTCCCTCATTTATTCTGAGTTTGCAGGCCTTTAAATATGGCTCATTGCTCAAGATGAATGAGCAAAGAAAGAAAACTTGAATTATTTAGACCATTTTAGACCCCTGTAGCCAATTTCTTTCTAAATGCATCATCCTGGAATTCAACGGAGCCAGGCTTCTCGGCCCACTTGGCAAGAGCGTAACCTTACGGAAAGAATCATGGCACCACTGGGCAAGACACGGTGCTCTCCCCAAGCCGAACAACAAAGACCGTCCTCGGTCTCTGCAGTGGTGAAGCACCTTCCTGCTCCATGCGACAACACGTTTCCAACTTGCTAGCTTGCAAGCTGAATGAGGGCAACGTTTCCATCCGGGGTTGGGGACCCCCTTTTATCCATCTGCTCACGGCTGCACGTCTCAGCTTTTGAGGAGTGCGTACCCGGGAACCCTGAGCCATCCGTCCCTTCAGGAAGCAACACCTATTGTCCAAGTCACAACGCATCTCCCGGCGCGGGCAGGGTTTCCAAGTTCCCGATTTATGGCCAAGATCCCGATTTATGGCAATAGCCGCGTTTACCGTTCCTAGTGGCTACTGTTCAAATCAAGGGGATTTTATATACTAGAAAAAGTTTTCAAGAATCCCAACGCCAGGGAGTCAATGCCCTGAAATATAAACCACGAGGGGGCTCTCAGCAATGTCAGGTAAAGACACTCACTCTTCGGAAGCCAGGCTGGGGTTGGAGAAGGGCGCGGCTCCCGTCTGACCAGTGGCCGAGTGGTTCCTGTCCCTCTGCTGACCTCCTGCACAGCATCTGAGGACACAGCGGGAGTGGGGGACGGAGAGTAAGGCAAGTGGGGAGCAGACGGAAAAGCCGAAGGCTCTGAGCCCTCACCGTAGACCCAACTTCCATCCACGGGGAATAGCCATCCTAAGCCCCCTGGGAGCCCGGGACGGGGCGATGCCAGCCCAGGCAAAGGGCCGAGGCCCTGGATCCTCCATCGGTCAGGGCCTCTTACATGCTCATCTACCCAGCCTTGCGCGATCGGGGCATTTGTAAGGAACAGACGGAAATTCACTCTCCTCCCGGGCCTGCCTTTCCTAATAAGCAGATCCCGGCTGGCTCTTCAGAACGAACAGAACTAAAAGGAACAATTTCTAGCAGGTGGGGAGGAGACGCGTACGTGGCCAGAAGCCATCCCTCCTCCCTGAGGAGCGCCCAGACCCTCACCTCCGCTCTGCAGCCACTCACCGCTGCTTTGGGGGCTTGGACACCTCAGCCAGCCGGCGGCAGGCCTCTTCCAGCTGCGCCAGTGTGTTGGGCGGGGTCAGGGGAGGCATCGCGGGGTCCTGGGTGAACGCGGGGGCTCGGGGGGCAGAGCGGGCGTGCCCGCTGCTGCCCCCCAGCAGGTGGTGCCGGCCAGCTCGCTCGGCCGGGGACGCACGGGCGGACTCCAAGGGGTAAGCCTTTTTTGTGCTTTGGGCACTGAGCAAGGAGTGAGAGAGAGAGCAGAAGAAAGAAACTGGGTTAGAAAAACTGGAAAATGTGACTTCAGTAGAAACTTCTCTATCCTGCCTTCAGAGAGAAGAGGAAAATAAAAAATGACCCTATCATCACATGGACAGGGGCGGTGCCGAAACAGGGCATTTTTGTGGTCCGCTCAGGCCAACGTTTGCTGTTAAGACGGCAGGAGCAAACGGTCCCATTTGTGTTCGGCCGACTGCAAGAACAGCCATCCCCACAAGACCTCCGTGGCGGCGGGTGTGGTTTACCTAGGGGGCTTGGGTTTGCTCTGCCGCTCGCTCTCCAGCATCCACTGCCAGACATCCTGCGACCTGTCTCCTTCCTCCCCGGGAAGCTGCAGGGCCCCGGCTCCGCCGGGGGCCCCTCCTTCCCTGGCGGGCAGGGCCAGGCCCGGCTCCACGCTTTTCCCACTTCGCTTGGGCAGGGCACTGCCTCTGTTGCTGTGGGGAACCAAGAACCACACCCAGCCCAGAGGCCCCGTTACAGCTCTGGGACGCCTCGAATCGGGACAGGTCGGCGAGTGGCGGGGTGACACGAAAGACCCATGCACCTGCTTCCCCTGCCCCGCCCCCCCCACCCTGTGCCTCCCTCCTGGAAGCTAGATGCCTGTGACCCCTGAACCCCGCTCCCCAACCTCGCACCCGCCCGGGGCTCTGGGTGGGAGAGAAAGCCCCGCGGGGACGCTCCGGTCCACCTGACACTCACCCAAACTGCTCGGCCGCGGGCTCCACAGCCTTGGGGTGGCTCCTGCACTTGGGGTAGCAGTAGTAGCCGGCGCCCCCGGGACAGAAGCAGCGCACCCTCTGTGCGGCCTCTGCCTCCATCTCCTCCCTGGTCTTGGGGAGGCCGTGGTGGTGGATGTAGTGGTGGTGGACGTGCTTCGTCGTCTGCTTGGTCACTAAGCCCCTGGCTCCGAGGAGGGGGCAACCGGCCTGTGGGGCTGCCACGGGGGGCAACTTGCCCCCAGGCGGGAGCAGGGGGTGGTACTGCTCCTGGTGGTGGTGGTGGTCGGGGGAGCGGGAGCGGGGGCTGTAGCGGCCCACGCCTGGAGACTGGCAGCCGGGGGTCTTGAGGACCCTGGACAGGTGGTCGTCCAGAATGGTCTGCGGGTCCTCCTCGTAGCTGCCGGAGGGCAGGAGGGAGAGGGGGTGCGGAGCGGGCCCCCCGTCCCTGGGGCTCAGCGCTAGCTCGGAGGCCTCCCTCTCTTCATCCTGGAGGGGCAGGCGGCAGGAGGGGCAGTGACCGGGTAAGCAGGAGGGGCCAGCCTGGGCCGCCAGGGGGTCAAGGGGAGGGGCGGCACGGGGACGCGGGCACCGGGGAAGGGACAGGGCGTGGCGCTACCTCTCGGATCTGCTGCAGGCGCTCCTCCAGGCTGTGGCGGCTCTCCAGCTCCAGCTTCAGCTTCTCCAGCCTGGAGATGAGCTCGGCCGCGAAGGTGGCGGGCTCCACGGGGGTCATCTCCTTGGGCAGGCGGTGGGTTCTCTACGGGGCACGGGGAGGGAAGCCACGAGGCACGTTCAGCGGGGCCAGCACGCGGCGCCCCCGCCGGAGCTTCCCGGGCCTGGTGGCCTCGGCCCCGGCCACAGCCGCACGGACGGACGGACAGACGGACGGACGGACGGGTGGGCGGCGGAGAGCGGCGGGCGCGGCGCCCGGGCTGCTCGGGAGCTTTATGCGCCGGCGCCGCGGCCTCATGGAGAGCCATGGTCCCCACCAGCGTTTGCCTTGGGCAGGAGCAGTTGGTCGCTCTCCGAGAGGCCCCGCTTGTTCTCTCTGTAGTACAACCAGCCCATCAGTAGCTACTCTGAAGTAGAGAATCTTCAAAGACTGTTGTCAAACATCAAAAAAAAAAAAAAAAGGCCCTCTGCGGTGGGGAGGGGAGAGGGACCAACTCAAGGAATAAAAAGTAGAGTCTAAACAGAAAGGGAGCTGGAAATTTGAAAAAAAAAATAAATAAGATTGGAAGGGAGGTGGGGGCAGGGGGAAGAAAAGGGGGAAAAAAAAAAGGAGTCACACGGCCGGATCAGAAGAAGTGGTAATTTATTTCGTGGCCGCACACTGCGCACCTTTGAGGTGGTGTTGTCTCAACACTGTCCTAGATCTCCCCGGCTCTCCGCGCCCCCCTCCCCGGCTCTTTGTACAGAAAATGAAGGAAGATGCTGCGGGCTAGCGGCAGAGCACCGCTGAGCTGGGCTGCCCGAAGCCGGTCTATCAAGGGAAAAGGGAACATCTCCAAATCAAGTACAGAATATAAAAAGGCATAGAGGGTGCTGCCAAAAGCAGCAAACAGAGGACTCCCACTGCCCGGCTCTCCGTCCTCTGCCGGTCCTCCCGCCACCCCCTCCCCCCGGTTGTCGGCCTGTTCCTTCCTCAATTTCCCTCTTGCTTTGCCCTTTCCTTCAGCATGGGTGGGGGCAGCACAAAGCCCACCCGCGAAGGCCCGCGTTCCCCCTGCAGCTGAGCTGGGCTCATGAGGGCGACCGGCAGCCAGTGAGCCTGGAACTGCGTGGGGGGCTGGGTAGAGAAAGCCCAAGCCCCCCCACCCCAGGAGCCGGCCGCTGTCATGCAGGCTAGCTCGGCTCAGCCCGGATCAAAGCGCTGCCTTATGGAGAAAGTCGATTTCCACACCCCAGGACAAAATCATCTAATTTACAAGCTTGGGCAGTAGAACTTTTATTCACACACATACTCCCCTGCACCCCCACAGTCCTGCCCAAAAACACCTGTATCCTCAATACTGCTGTATTTGCGGGGTAATATTATCGAGGAGGGGGATGCTGAAGGGCCCCAGGAAAGCATTGTAACATGCTAAATTTTCGGACCCAGTTAAGTCCTCCCTGGACTGTGTCAGGGGCTTTCAGAGGGGAGCTGCTCTAGCGAAAACAATCCAGTAATGCAACATGGGATTAGCAACTGGGTGTGTTAATTTTCTGAACGCAACATCACTGATGGGCCAACTGAATTCTCGGAAGCTGGCCAGAAGGATTCGTGAGCGGAGATGCCGCTCGAAGCTGGGCACTCTCCTCCCCTCCCCAAGGAACAGTGTTCTTGCAATCTTGGATCTCAGTGTATGGCAAGAAGCACAGCTCCTAAAACACAGACGAGGGGCCTCTGCTGAGTTTAGGGGGCCACATGCTGGCTGCCCTCCAGGACTTGGAAATGGAAGAAGAGATACCAGGAAAGGATCTTCACGCCAAGCTGGCCTCTCACGTCAATCACAGGGGGAAGTTGCTCATGAGATCCTACCTTCCAAAGGCTTCATTCATTCAGCATTCATTAGGTGCAGATTCAACAGAAGGTTCTAAAGCAAGTTCTGGGGTTGGGAACGGACAAGACGGGACAGCTGCCCTCCAGGGCTTTGGAAGTCAACAGGAGAAACGTCCTAGGGATGCAATTTCCCTTCTGCGGGAGGCAGAGATTCTTCTAGCCTCCTCATTCGCTGATTCAATCAACACGTTTTAGTAAGTACCTGTTAGGAGCCAGCCACTGTTCTAACCGCTGTGGACAGGGCATTTCACAGAACAGACAAAACTCCCTGCCCTCGGGGGGCCTCCATTCTAGTGGGAACCCATGGAAGGAAGCACGGTTTAACTCCCACCATTGCTTGGTTTCTGGAAGAGAACGGCTTTGGTTTCTTTTTTGAAAAGAATTTTCTTTTTTGAATTGAGAAAATGTAGAGGTTCAAGTCGGTCATCTTGAGCTTCACTCTGCTCAGCATCACACCTCAAGGAACCAGGTAACACCTCTTCCCTGGTTCCCCCCTCTCTTCCCTTTCCCCTAGAAGGCCCCAGGCACTACTTCTCCTCTTATCCTAGACCTTCCCCCCTCCACCTCCCATCCCTCTTCTGCAAGATTCAACATGGCCAAAAATATCTGCCTTCCCCCTCTGGACTATACTCACCGGGAAATGAGGTAGAGACACTTGGCCATTGGCCTTCACACTGCGATGCATTTCTCTCTGGAGCTGTTTCTTACTCCCCACACGATAAGGAGGGATTCCATCTCTAAGGGAAGGGAAAAGACAGAACCCACAGGCTCACGAGGATGCTTTCAGCACGTGGGCTAACTCACAAGCCCTCCTGAGATCCCACCGACGGACAGGGCCCTTGCATGCCTCCATGCACGTGTGTCCCCGTCCTGGGCCCCATGGCTATTCCCAAGGGGAAAGACCAATCCAAGATCAAACTGCCAAACCCTCTGCTCATCAATCATCTCTGTCAACTTGGCTCCCTCTCAGATGCAGGATCGACAGCTCGGAAAGAGCTTGGTAAGCTCCTCCTTCAAGCTCTGCCTTGGAAATGGTTACACTCTAGCCAGCCCAGTCAAAGTGAAGGTTCCCCATTTTATCTTACAAGTAGCCCAAGCAGGAGAACCTGAGACCCCTTTGGGCCTCCTCACAGTCGGCTGTACTGCCCCAGATCAGGACCCCAGGGCCTTCTGGAGCACACACCGGGGCAAAATACTGCAGGAAGAGGGACCAGGCCCGCAGACAGCCGAGCCAGGCATTAATGAAGGGGTGCGCCATTCTCCAACAGTCAAGCCCCCAACTGTTTCCAAATGTCTTCCTCTTGTAAATCAGCCACAAGAATATCTTTGGGCTCCTTCCTTCCCTCAGCTCCAAACCCTGCCACCCCCCAAACTAAGGAATTCCCAAGGACACATGACCAATGTGGGCATAAAGAGAAAGCCCCTACTACGTGGCACTCCGGGCAATTTCAGATATTTGAGTACCTACTATGTGAGACCTTGTTCCAGGTGCCGGGCGAGACAGCAGTGAAGGAAGGGGATAAAAATGCAGACGACTGCCCTCATAAAGCTTATATTCTTTTTTTAAAAAATTTTTTTATTCTTATGTTAATCCCCATACATTACATCATTAGTTTTAGATGAAGTGTTCCATGATTCATTGTTTGTGCATAACACCCAGTGCTCCATGCAGAATGTGCCCTCCTCAATACCCACCACCAGGCTAACCCATCCTCCCACCCCCCTCCCCTCTAGAACCCTCAGTTTGTTTTTCAGAGTCCATCGTCTCTTATGGTTCATCTCCCCCTCCGATTTCCCCTGCTTCATTCTTCCCCTCCTGCTACCTTCTTTTTTTTTTCTCTTAACATATATTGCATTATTTGTTTCAGAGGTACAGATCTGAGATTCAACAGTCTTGCACAATTCACAGCGCTTACTAGAGCACATACCCTCCCCAGTGTCTATCACCCAGTCACCCCATCCCTCCCACCCACCCTCCACTCCAGCAACACTCAGTTTGTTTCCTGCGATTAAGAATTCCTCATATCAGTGAGATCATATGATACATGTCTTTCTCTGTTTGACTTATTTCACTCAGCATAATCCCCTCCAGTTCCATCCACGTCGTTGCAAATGGCAAGATCTCATTCCTTTTGATGGCTGCATAATATTCCATTGTATATATATACCACATCTTCTTTATCCATTCATCTGTCGATGGACATCTTGGCTCTTTCCACAGTTTGGCTATTGTGGACATTGCTGCTATAAATATTGGGGTGCATGTACCCCTTCAGATCCCTACTTTTGTATCTTTGAGGTAAATACCCAATAGTGCAATTGCTGGATCATATGGTAGCTCTATTTTCAACTTTTTGAGGAACCTCCATACAGTTTTCCAGAGTGGCTGCACCAGCTTGCATTCCCACCAACAGTGTAGGAGGGTTCCCCTTTCTCCGCATCCCCGCCAACATCTGTCGTTTCCTGACTTGTTAATTTTAGCCATTCTGACTGGTGTGAGGTGGTATCTCATTGAGGTTTTGATTTGGATTTCCCTGATGCTGAGCGCTATTGAGCACTTTTTCATGTGTCTGTTGGCCATTTGGATGTCTTCTTTGGAAAAATGTCTGTTCATGGCAGAGCATTTAATTTGACAGTGCTATCTACAGAACAAGCTTCAACCTAGCAAATTATACAGAGCAGAGGTCATACTAATGGACTAATTAAAATTGGTAAAAGTTGGGAGACTGGGAAGATATTAGAGTTATTGGTGATACCATCACTATTATTCTTTTAGTACAGTGAGGAAGAGTAGAAAGGAATTTAAGGTAGAAACAGAAGACCCTATACCCACTAGGAATTTGTAGGTCTGTTCTTGAACAGAAAATTATCTTCATCTTGTCCGGTAACAGCAGACAATATAAATAGGGTATTATGGAGATTCTCAGAGGTATGTCTGTACTGTATCTCTAATTTAGATTGTTGGATTCCTTTCTTGTTTTTTAAGGGACAGTGACTTTTCTAGTACCTGAGTTTTTCATAGATGCAGCATCTCCCCCAGGACAGTTCTTTATCTGTCATATGAGTGAAGGTTGGACTTTAAGTTGTTTAATTTAAAGGGACATGTGGACCTCCCCTCCCCTTTTCATTGTTTCAGAGTTCTTTGATAATATTCTGTTGTAATTCACCTAAATAATCTGTTTGCCAGTCTGGTTATTTTTGGTTTTAATCTGTTAAAGGGGTGAAAAGACCTTGTGGTGGTCTGACTCTAGGTCTGTATCAAAATATTTCCTAAAATTTTTAAAATCTTCTAATTATGAATGATTTTGCTTGCAATTTTAGATTTTGGTCCAATCTACTTTGGTAAGAAAGGCTTCTGGGATGGCCAGAAGCACTTTTCTGTGTCTTTAGCTTTCTTTAAACTTTCTTCTGATTTGGGATATCTGATCTGCATTAGGATCCTGCCTTGTTTTTTTGAATCATCTTTGACATTCTGTTGGGGAAATTAGTAGTCTGTATAAGCTTATGAAGTTCTGGAAGGCCTGGGAGTATAAGTGTCTAAAAGTATTCTAAATTCCTCAGAGAACCTTTGGTTCTTAGTGGGTTTGGGGATTCCCTCAGGTAGTAAAGTTTAAAAACAACAGCCTGACCTTCTTTTGAAGAGTGATAAATCCTTAATGGAAATTGCATGATTGTCTGTTCCTCACTATGTGGGTGCTCAGCAACAAGGGAGGAGATAGGACCATTATATTTAAGGGAGGAAGATATTACGGAAACCCATGATGATAAACTGAGAAAAGTATGAGGTCCTCATCTGAAGAATCAGAACATTGGGATTCTATAACACTGGGTAAAGGCTAAGCTTTCACGGCAGGAAGTTAGGCACTGAGAATAAGCTGCCTTTTTAGCTTTTGCCGGGGAATCATTCAAGGAAGTTCGTTATGAGCTATTGAGGCATTTAGATGTCTTGGTGTACCGGTTTAGATGGTAGACTATTGTCTTGGGGGTTTTGCCTCCTTTGGTTCTAAAGTATTGCAGAAGTATAAGTCATTACTGAAATTATGATTTCCCCAGAGTGGCTACTGCAATTATAAACTATCCATGGTGTAATTATACCATATTATTAGAAATGTGTATGAACTTGGACTATAATGAATATACATATACTTGGTTCTTTGAATTGACAGCCCCTACAACAAATATCAAAAAGGAGATTCCTTTACTATGTGGTAGACAAATGTATACACAGAGTAGCTAGGCAGTTGAGAGGGAGGCAGTAGTCCAGTGCCTTGAATCTGGCCCAAACCATGAGTTTTCTGAGGAATCTCTTAAACAAGACACAGGTGGACTAACAACAGACATACACAGAATGGATCTTCTCTCTGTGTCACTCAAGAAAGAGATCAAATTTCCTCTCCATCTCCAGGAGAAACCAGATGGCTCTGAGCCAGAATAAACAGAAACTTGTGGGACAGAACGGAACAAACTCAAAGCTGAAATCAGCTGAATCACTATCAGAAGGTGCCAAAACCCTGCTTAAATCCAGGGCTCAGTAGGTTCTTAAGTGTCGGTGGTCTGTCAGCTTCACTGGTAGCTCAATCATATGATCTCTGTGAGACCTCCAAACTGTTAAAGAAAGCAATAACGACTCTTAGAGACCAAAGACTGAGCACTAAGTGAAAAAGCTTTATTGCCAAGCATGGAACCTGATCCAGCCAAGAGTTTGAGGAGGCTCTCAAGGATGAAGTTCAGGGCAGGAGAAATGGGGTTGGTAGGTTTTTTTAAAGCCAGAAGACCATGAATTATCTTTACTTCATATTAGAAGAGCCAAATCTTTTAGTGTTACTACTGATTGGCTGGTGATATCTGCGTTTATTGGTTGGTAAGCACTGGACTGGCCGGAGATAGTCTGTAGCATATGTGTGGTACAGAATTATGTCTAGCTGCCTCTGTTTTGTACATAATATGTGTGAGGAATATGTCACCCATCTGCTTCACTGGCATCAGCAGGCCGGGTAGCCAGGTCAGGGTTTATCAAGAGTTAAGTAGTTTATTGGATATGAGGGGATGGGTTTTAGGAGGGAGGTCTGGGTATGGTTCTATAGCTATATACTTTGAAATGTGGTCTAGTACAGAAAAATACCAGCTTTAATGGGTCTTAATCTGTTCTTAACTTATGTAATAGTGTTCTAATTGTTGATGTACAATAAACCACCCCAAAACTTAGTGACGTAAAACGACATTTATTTTATTTGAGAAACTGCAATTTATACAGGGAGCGACAGGCTCAGTTTGTTTCTCTTTCACTCAGCATCAGCTGGGGTGGCTCAAAGGCTGGGACCTATGTTATCTGAAGATTCACTAATATTCACTTGTGGCTCAGCTGGCTGTCAGCTGGGACCTCAGCTGGAACTCTCACTGAAATTCCTACAAGTGGTCTCTCTATGTGGCCTCGCTCAGTTCCAGGGTGAGTACTCAGAGAACCAAATCACTTCCAAATATCATACATTGGGGTTAGGTTTCAACATACGAATTTTGGAAGGACACAAATACTCAGTCCATAGCATACTTACTTTCCAACTATATCAAAATTATATACCTTAATTTCCATAAAAGAACTCTTTACTAAAAATAAAACATTATCTGAGATTTTCCAAATGTGGGAATAAAGGTTTTTGAACTACAAATAGTGAAACATTTTTTACAGCTTTTTACTTCATTTTTTTACAGATCTTATTACAGGGCCCGTCACATTTTAGTTGCTACAATAGATGCTCTTGAGGATACAAAAACCTAATAACCCTTTGAAACAAAAAACTCCTAAAAATTCTGCCCTTGCAGGATAAGTGATAAAATAAGTGATATTCAGATCATTATGTAAAAGTGCTATGTGTCTGAATTTTCCTAGTGGCCCAGAGAGCTTTCAGAGAATGAGTTTCTCAGGTTTTGTCCAGATATGGTGGATTTTATGCGTAGGTCTCAGTGGACAACTTCCTTTTTAGAGTGACTCTACATAGCAGAAAATGTACATTAGCTCTAATCTAGAGTTTTTTTTAAGGGAATGCAGGTATGTCTTTCATGTGATAATTAAGGTCTTAATCTGTTACTCCTAAATGGTTTTTTTTCTGTTTAATTAAATCTAGATACAGATTTTGTCTATTTCAAAGATAAAATTTTGTCTATTTTTTGTGACAAAGAGCCAGGTGCCCCAAGCCTAGCTCTTTAAAAAAAAAAAAACAAAAGATGAGGGAGGTCTGGGTGCCTCAGTTGGTTAA